ATGAGCAACCGAACCCCGCCGCGCGAGCCATGAGCAACCGAACCCCGTCGCTTGACTTTGCCGCCGCCATATTGGGAAACCTGCTCTCTATCTCATCCAAAAGATGGCCCTTTTGACAAAAAAAAAGCCCTGGAGTGGGACATGACCCATAGTCTGGGTCACCCATAATCTCTGGGTGACCCATAATCTCTGGGGTGGACCATGACCCATAATCTTTTTACCCGGAGCTGAAATGCATTATGACTGTGCTTATGTTAAAACAAGCGCAAGAAAAACAACCCCAAAAAGAAAACACTGGAAATGCTGGAAGTCTGAAATATGGAGGGGGAAAATAAATTCCCAATAAAACTAAAGTGTAGAAGCCAAACATGGAACACAAGTTGGACAATTGGGATTGCAATCGTGATACTGATCCTCATTCCCTGCGAATACTTAGTTAAAGGACGGGACTAAACAGAAACCGAAGAATAACCCTCCAACCGAACCCACTTTAGATTTTGATTATTTCCGTGCTCACTTTATTAGCATTTGTAATATCTTGACCCCAACCCTACTGGAGCCTAGCACAGGAATGAACGGGATGCCACAATGATGTCCACCTGCAAATCCCTTCTCTTGACCACTGGTGGCAGCACCTTCTGCTACCCAGGCCTCCAGCTCTGAATTCTCCCTCTTTATCAATTCATTTCCCTCCTTTAAGGACCTTGTTTAAAACTGAGCTCTTGACTGAGGTTTGGATCCTTGTTGGTAGTAGCCACTTAAGTTGCTCACTGCCAGATCTGGTCTGGTGACTCTTCTTGAAGCACCTTGGGGCATCTAACTACATCAAAGGTGCTAACTAAATGCAAATCATTGTTACCCATGCAAGACATGTCTTTTGTTTGTAATTGACAGTGCATTTATAAGTAGGAGGGAAGGGAAATAAAGGCTTGCTGGCTAGTTATTCTGAAGGTTATGTGACCTTAAAGTTGTCTTCCTTGAGATATTTCTTTGTCCATAACTACATTTTTGATAAATAAAGTTTGAAAGCTGGAATCAGAGTTTAAGTTAAAATACAAACAACATTAATATAACATAGAACAGTACTACACAGGAATGTGCCCTTCAGCCCACAATGTTGTGCCAAACATGATGCCAAATTAAACTAATCCCTTCTGCCTGCCCTTGGTCCATATCCCTCCATTCCTTGCATATTCATGTGCTTATCTAAAAGTCCCTTAAATGGGTATCTGCCTCCTCCAGCATCCCTGGCAGCACATTCCAGACTCCTACCACACTCTGTGTAAAAAACTTGCCCCTCACACCTCCTTTGAACTTTCCCCCTCTCACCATAAAAGCATGGCCCCCAGTATTAGACATTTCAACTCTGGGAAAAAGATCTGACCCTCAACCTCATCTGTGCATCTCATAATTTTATGGACTTCTATCAAGTCTCCTCTCAGCTTCTGCTGCTCCAGAGAAAATAACCCGAGTTTTTCTAGCCTCTCCTTATAGTTCATACCCTCTAATCCAGGCAACATCTTGGTAAACCTCTTCTGCACCCCCTCCAATGCCACCACATCCTGTCCTGTAATGTGGCGACCAGAATTGAACACAATACTCTAAGTGTGGCCTAATCAAAGTCTTATAAAGGTGCAATATGACATCCTGACTCTTGTAGTTAACTCCCCGAACAATAACGGCAAGCATGCCATACGCTTTCTTTTCCATCTATCTATAAATGCTTTAAAATAAAATCAGGTTGATTGTTTCTCCTTCCAAGCACTCAGCTCCAGTCTTTCTCTGATGGTTCACAAAAAGACCATCATTCTCACGCTAGCCATGTCAGAAAGTGGCTGACTCTTCCACCATGAGGGCCATCACAGCTAAACTTATGCCTGTACCCAACCCACAGCCAATGTCAACATTTACATCAGGATGGGGGTGTGGCAGAAAAATTCCCCCTCAATTCGCCATGGGAGAGGTGAGGGATTTCAGCACAGACCCCAGGGTCTGCAGATGAACCCTGGCTGATCTTTCACTACGTGCAGTGAAAGAGCTCAGCTGAAGGGGAGCCAAAGTAGGGGGGAGGGGGCACGCTGGGGGTGTGTGGAAGGGACAACATGGTAAGAAAACACGGCAAAGGGAGGGGAAATCATTGCTCAGAAATAATGAAGAGCTTTTGAAAAGCAAATTCTGAATCAAAAGGCCATTGTCTCTAGCATGAGAAAACCTCCTGCTACACATTCACTAGATGCATTGCCATTCCTATCCAAAGACTAAAGAACATTCACCTGTTTAAAATGTGTGTGGTTCGACTGTCAGTTTGTGCTTTCATTTCATCTCAAGAGCTGCAGCCTCCACTAAGGCTGCAATTATTTTGCACCTAATTCTGACACTGAACAGTGTGATGGCAATTCTGTTCTGCAGCAACAGTTTTAGCTCCAACAACTTGTCAGTCACTTTATTGTCACGCTTGCCTCACACATCTATAAAACTCATGGTACACAGACCTTGCTACACCATTTACATTCTACTGTCCACTCATACCCTCTGAACAGGGATTTTCTCACACTGTCGTTGCTACACTATATACTTAACACTGCTGAATCATGTAATACATGCTTACCATGTCCCTGTCAAACTCAGAACCCCTTCCCAACCACAACACATTAAATCTACCAACTCACCCTCAATGATCATTCATATACCCTGAACCCAAACCCATAACAAAGTGACCATACCAGAAAATTCATATCATTGACCTATCAATAAAATCTACGCACTAAACTGGCAATAAAATCTATCCATTAATCCTAACATAAGATCCATATGCTCTCTCTCTAACATGTAATCCATGCCATTCTGACTTTAACAAATAAATCTATATGCTCTGTCCCCAATCATACTGACCCTAGAATAGTATTTATAGAATACTGACTCTAAGCATATAGCCCATGCTAGTCTGACCTTAGCATAGGATTTACATCACACTGACTCGAACATATATTTCACAGTATTCTGATCCTAACAAAATCTATACCATACTGACTCTAACATAACAGTTCATAATATTCTGAGCCTAACAAAATCTATACCACACTGACTCTAACACAAAGGATCAGTAAAGTATGAGCTATGTGTTAGAGTCAGTGGAGTATATATTTTGTTAGGATCAGAATGGTTAAGCTACATGTTCGAGTATATGTAGTGTACATTATGTTAAGATCAGTATAGTATGAGTTAACGTAATCCATACCACAGTGACACTAACATACAGCCTATACCATTCTGATCCTAATGCAAGATCTATACTACACTAACTCTAATATACAGCCTATACCATTCTTATCTAAAGATCTATACCACATTAACTCTAGCATATAACCCGTACCATTATGATCCTGACACAAGGTCTAAATCATACTGAATCTAACATTTAGCCCACACTACTCTGTTCCCAAAATAAAGTCTATAGGTGTGAGGCTGGAAAAGCACAGCAGGTCAGACAGCATCAGAGGAGCAGGAAAGTCAATGTTTCGGGCTGAAACCCTTCACCAGGACTGAAATGTTGACTTTCCTGCTCCCCTGATGCTGCCTGACCTGCTGTGCTTTACCAGCCTCACACCTATAGACTCTGGCTTCCAACATTTGCAGTCCTTATTGTCTCTGTTTCTAAAATAAGATCTACATCACACTGACTCTAACATATAGCCTATACCATTCTGATGCTATGAGGTGAAGGTGCTGGTGTTGGACTGGGTTGGACAAGGTCAAAAATCATAATGTCACCAGGTTATAGTCCAACAGGTTTATTTGAAAACACTAGCTTTTGGAGCTGCTCCTTCATCAGCTGTACTGAGAGAGGCATCAAGACACAGAATTTATAAGTAAAAGATCATACAACTGATGCAAACGTATTCAACAACCTTAAAATGGCTGGCTGACTCCCTCCTGTTAAATCTTTCATCAGTTAGAAAGAAGATACAGGCTTTGATTGATTAAAATGCAAATCCCAGAATTTCTTTCAAGTGACTGCCCAGAGATAACTAAAGGTTTTATTAGCGTACACAAGAGGTGACATCTCAGGTCAGACGATGCATTCTGATGCTAACACAAGATCTATACCACACTAACACTAACATATCGCTCTCACACCATTCTGAACCTCTCATGTACTCACTGATCCTGTCTCGGAAGCGATGCCACGCTGAGTTTAAAATAACATCCAAGAAACACACAGATTCCGCGGACATTCAGCCGACCACAAAACCACGGGCAAGAACTAACGCTTCCCGGACTGTTGTCCCGTCCCAGTCCCGCGGTACGGGGGGAATGGGGGTTGGGGAGGCTCGGATCCAAGAGGTAGAGACTTACCTAGGAAAGGGAGCAGGTAAAGTGAGCGGAGCTGGGAGCCCATCGGGGTCAAACCCATAGCGCTGGCAGAGCGGGTTTGCGGAGTCTGGTCTCTTGGCTGCAGTGCTGAATGTGTGAGTGTGTGAGTGAGTGTGTGTGTATTAAAGAGAGTGGGGGAACAGGCTGTAACTGTCCTTGTCGCTCTGTACAGCCGATCCTGACTGCAGCTCAGCGTTCACGCTCAGGACTGTTTTTTTTTAACCAGCACTCAATCATATGACCTGCTTAATTTAATCTGACCAAACAAACAAAAAACATCAAGCCTTCCACCAGAACCGCAACCATTTCGCCTTCTGGTCCCGTCCCCAACCCATGAGGGGCATTGGCTGTGAATTCAGCGAAGCAAAGTTCGCCCGTGTTTCACATATTGGCCACTAACCGCACCACCCTCCCCACCCCAACCCCAACCCCAACCCCAACCCCGGAACCAGCCCAATAACCCGAGCCAAAAACCGAAGTTGCTGAAAAAGCTCGGCAGGTCCGCCAGCATCTTTGGAGAGAAATCAGAGATAATTTTCGGGGTCCGGCGACCCTTCCCGAATAAATCGAGCCCTAGTTTTATCACACCCTCCAACTACATTGTGCGAATGATTCACACTCGTTCCAACTGATTTAAATGGTTCATACTTAACCAAAACCGATTACTTTTAACAGTGCACTTTCCCCGCTTTAAAGGGATATTAAGCAATGACTGCGGACCCCACACTGTCTCTTAATTTATGACAATTCTCAACACCACTTCCCACCCCCCACCCCCGCCCCCACCTCAGACCGGACGTTTCACACTGACTCAAAACATGGGAGGGAACATTATCTGTGTTAAAGGCAAATTAGTGTTTGGCCAACTTCACTGAAGCTGATGGATGAAGGTAACCTAATTGTTGTGAGCGTCTTGCACCTTCAGAAGGTGCTCCACCAAGTATCGCAGAACAGATTGATTGCTGAAAGGGAACCCATGCGATCAAAGAGACTACTTACAAGGACAGCAGAGTTTGCTTTTCCAGTGATAGCTGTTTAGGGCTTCTTTCCCAGGGCTCTGTGCTGGGATTTTTTTTCTGATATTCTGAGCATGTAGCATATTTTAGAATGAATCTATGCCCCACTGATTAACATATAGCTCATATCATTCTGATCTTACGATAAAATCTATATCTCACTAATCTAACATATAGCTCATTTCATTCCGATCTTAGGATAAAATCTATACCACACTGACTCTAACCTATAACTCATATCATTCTCATCAAAGATTAAAATCCATTACCACACTGATTCTAACATATAGCTCTCATCAATAGGATCTTAGAACAAAATCTATACCACACCAACTCTAATATATGGCTCATATCATTCTGATCCTAGAATAAAAGCCACATGTCAGAAAGAGGGTAAATGACGCAGCCAACCCCCTCCTAGGGCAGTATGCAAAGGCGCTCAGATCCCAGCGGGAACAATCTGACATGGCGGGCCCTTCCCCCTCCACCCCCCGCACAGCAAAACCTGTCCTTTCATTTTCCTATATCACTTAATGTCATTAGTATCTAGAAAGCAACTGGTCTCTCTTGAACATACTCAATGACTGAGCTTTGTCAGTCCTCTGGGATAGAGAATTCCAAAGACTCACCGTCTTCTCTGAGTGAAGAAACTCTTCCTGATCTCCGCCCTTATACTTAGACCATGTCCCCTGAGTTCCAGACCCTCCCATCTCAGGGAAACATCATTTCTACATCCACCCTACCTAGCCCTTTAAGGATTTTATATCGTTCTATGCAGATCACTTCTCATTCTGCTAAAGTCCAGAGAGTACACATCTGGTCACCTCAACATCTCCACACAGGACTCTTTCTTTGGATCCTACCACCCTTGCTGCACTCCCAGTATTGAACATATACCCTTTCTGAGGGAAGGCAACCAGGACTGTACACAATACTCCAAGTCCAGTATTGCCATGCATCTCTAACAATTGTATATAATTGCATGTAATCTATACAATCTATACAAAGCCGCTTGACTCAAAGGTCAAAATACCATTTGGCTTCCTGTGCTACATGTCAGCCTTCAGTGAAATAAACAAGGATGATGATCAATTCCCAATCTCCTGCCATTTATGAAATATTTTGCAACCTTGGTCCCTATACTAAAGTTTATAATCTCACAGATATTCACATCATTTTCCATTTGTCATGTTTTTGCCCATTTATTCAATATGTCCAAACCCCTCTTTGTATCATCCTCACAACTCAAAATTCCTACACGGAGTTGCATTACCTACAAATGTGGAAATATTGCATTTGGTGTTCACATTGATGTCTACTTTGATTTTCAGAAGTTTTTTTTGGCAAGGTTCTACACAGGAGATTACTAAACAAAATTAAAATACATGGGATAGGGAGTAATGTGCTGGCATAAATTGAGGATTGGTCAATGGAAAGAACACAGAGAGCATGTATAAATGAATGATTCCCAGACAGTGAATAGTGGGGTATCACCTAGATTAGTGCTTGGACTATAGCTGTTTATAATCCACATCATACAGTCATACAGCACAGAAACAGACCCTTCGGTCCAATTCATCCATGCTGACCAATATCCTATATAAATCTAGCCCCATGTGTCAGCATTTGGCCCATATCCCTCTAAACCAGGGATATATCCCTCTGTACCCAGCCTGATGCCTTCTAAATGTTGTGAAACTAGAAAGGGTTCAGAAAAGATTTATGAGGATGTTGCCACGGTTGGAGGGTTTGAGCTATAGGGAGAGGCTAAATAGGCTGGGGCCATTCTCCCTGGAGTGTCAGAGGTTGAAGGGTGACCTTATAGAGGTTTATGAAATCATGAGGGACATGGATAGGCTAAATAGGCAAGGTCTTTTCCCCAGGGTGGGGAGTCCGAATTTGGAGGGCATAGGTTTAAGGGGAAAGATATAAAAGGGACCTAAGGGACTAAAAGAGCAGGTCAGAAGCTAGGAATACTCTGGTGAGTAACTCGCCTCCTGGTGCCTCAAAGCCTGTCCACCAACTACAAGGCACAAGTCAGGAGTGTGATGGAATGCTCCTCACTTGCCTGGATGAGCCCCAACAATACTTAACAAACTCAGCACCATCTAAGACAAAGCAGCCCGCTTGATTGGCACTACATCAACAAACATCCACTCCCTCCGCCACCGACACTCAGTAGCAGCAGTGTGTACCATCTACAAGATGCACTGCAGAAATTCACCAAAGATCCTCAGACAGCACCTTCCAAATCCAAGATCACTTCCATCTTGAAGGACAAGGGCAGCAGACATATGGGAACACCACCACCTCCAAATTTCCCTCCAAGCCACTCACCATCCTGACTTGGAAATATATTGCCGTTCCTTCATTGTCGCTGGGTCAAAATCCTGGAATTCCCTCCCTAATGGTATTGTAGGTCAACCCACAGCAGATGGACTGCAGCGGTTCAAGAAGGCAGCTCACCACCACCTTCTCAAGGGCAATTAGGGATGGGCAAGAAATGCTGGCCAGCCAGTGATGCCCACATTTCACAAATGAATTAAAAAAATTAGCATTACCCCAGCTTCTATTCCTTTTATGCCTGTCTTTCTTAAATGTTGAATATCCTCGAACATTAGTTCCCAGCCTTGGTCACCATGCAGCCAATGATAATTATATCACACCCTTTTACATAAGCTCACCTGTCTTGTTGTAAATGCCATGTGCGTTCAGGTAGTGCACCTGTAATTCTGTCTTTTTAAGCATCATTCCATGTTTTGACTCTAGTTGATATTGTCAATTGTTGTCACATTATTTCCACTTTCCTTCACAACTTTTCTACCTCCTACACCCAGCTTAGCTCCTCTTCTGTCTAAATTTCCTCTTAGATTCCGATTGTCCCTGTTGAACTAATTTAAACCCGCTCTGACAGTACTAGAAAAATACTCCATGAGGATAATTGTCCTAGTGGTATGTAAGCAGTTCTGCTTGTGCAGGTCTCATCTATCCCAGAACCAGTCCAAATACCCGAGAAATTTAATGGCCTCCCTCCAACACCATTCCACCAGCCTGTGTTTATTCACACAACTTTCTGATTTCTATAACTCACAGCGTGTGGCATACTGGGACTAATCCTGACAACATTGCCTTAGACATCCTGCTTTTAAATCACTTTCTCAGCCATCCAAACTCTACTCTTAGGCCCATATCCCTTTTTCTACCTATCTCTTTTATACCAATGTGGACCACACTCTCAGGCTGTTCACTATCCCCCAAAAGGACTTTCCTGCGCCATCTTTGGAGACATTCTTGAACCTGGCTACTGGGGAGGCTACATGCAATCTTAAGAGTTGCATTTTTTTTAGTTCATGCATGGGATATAGGGGTCACTGGTTAGGCCAACATTTATTTGCCCATCCCTAATTGCCATGGAAAAGGTGGTCGTGAGCTGCAGTTCACGTGCTGTAAGTTGACCCACAATGGTCATGCTGCCATGAGTCTGTTGTCCTTGTCTTCTGGAAGTCCTGCCGCAGGGTCTTTGGTGAGTTTCTGCAGGGCATATTGTAGACAGTACACACTGCCACCTCTGCATGTTGATGGTGAAGGGAATGAATATTGAAGGTGGTGGATGTGACGCCAATCATGAGCTGGTGTCAAGATTCTTGGTGTGTTGATCAAGACGCACCCATCCAGGCAAGTAAAGAGTATTCCACCACACATAGCTGACTTGTGTTTTGTGTTTGGCTATCGGCATTGGGGAGCCAGAAGGTGAGTTATTTTGCACAACATTCCCAGTCACTGACTCACTCTTGTAGCCACGGTATTCTAATGGTTAGTACATGGTTAGACTCTGCCACAACTAATTTTGTTGGCAGTCCGTTCCACACGTCCACAATTCCATGAGAAAAACAGAAGTGGTTTACACTTTATCTGGGGCCAAGCAATGTTCTTGGAAATGTCTTCAGCCGGAGATGAAATCTTCAAGGCATGGATTACAGATGGATGAACGTGGCTGAGCCATGGAGTAGCTGGAACATGATAA